CAGCATAATAATTCCATTTGGTAGAAAGTTGATACACACCACACACACACATACATGATCTTCATGGGTATAGATAAAATGTATTTTTTAAGTCTTTTTTTAAATATATAACTTATTTAAACTACTCAAAGTACTTTTGAAAATTTTACATTTTTCTCAGTTGCAAAAATATATAACCTAACATACAAGGACCACAGTAATGAGGAATGCATTAATCAATGAAAAAATAGTATTTTTAACAAGCCCTGAGATAAATTATGTGTTTGTAAAATTATGACCTGAATCCCCTGATGATCAGTTATAATTGACTGCAGAGTCCTGCATGTAAAGAGCTATAAGACATCTGTGCTACAATTTCAAACTTAGAAGATACTCATCTTATATCTTGTTAAATGGTAATGAAAAACCAGATGCAGGTATTTCATTAGTGAAGCATGCAGATCATCATAAATGAGGACATCACAATTTTGCTTTGGATTGTTTATGGCAAGCTTTTCTAGGTTATATGAAGAGCACTTTTAAATGAAGGCAATGACACTGTAGCTTCTAGTTTATCTTTGCGACTGGAATTGTTGATTTAAAAAATTTGTCTCCTCGTTAAACAGGTAACCTGCCAGTGTTTGTGTAGTATGTTGTGAACCTCCAGTTGCAGGTTAAGCAAATCTTACTGCGTTGCTGTGAAAAATGACTGCAGTGTGTGGCTCCCACCTGCCCATGAATGGGGAAGGCAAAGGCTTGCACCTGTGGGATTAGACCTAGCAGCAGGAAGTCAGAGCGTTCGCAGCGTATAATTAACCAGGAATTTTTCTCTCTTTTTTTAAGCAGTCTGTTCATCTTGCTAGGTTAGCTAGTAATTAACACATGAAAAAAAATGTACTGGAGTTTGCACCCTTACTTCAACTCATTCACTCAATGATATATTTGAGTACTTTTGTAGCTAATGTTACAACCATGATCCACTTACCTTAAAATAAGGCATTTCCTCCCGTAGTTGCTGACTTCTTTCTGCTGACAAAGGGATTTGTTAGATCTTCATGTCCTTTTACTATAACTTTGTTAGACCAAATCTGTTCTTGTCTAGTCAGATTAAGAATACTATAGGAGCTCTTTTGATGTGGCCAGAACTACCTTAACTAGCAAGATAAAGGCATAAGTGAGTAATGAACTGAGTGTCTTGAGATTTAAATAGGAAGATGGAAATGAAATCACTTTCCCTAAATGGTATTTAATATAGAAGAGAGCTTGCTGTGTGATTTTTCAATTGTTATTTCCTCCTAATCTTTAGAAAGCTGTAATTATCAATTTAGAAAAAATTTCTAAATTCAGCTCTCTAGGATACTATGTTATTGTTTTAAAAACTCACCATAAACCATGGTTGAAGTTTAACAGTCTTCTCCTTTCATAAAATTGGGGGATATCCACTTGTACTAAAATTTGTATTCATCTTCCATCTTGCGGTACAACATAGGCATGCATTTATACACAAAATACAAAAACAATTAGCAGTATGCTTAGTTTGGATTTTTATTGTTGTTTGGGAGTGTTTTCTTCTTTTATGCACACGTGGGGCCTTGAATTCAGAGCTTGGGGACTGTCCCCTAAAGTTTTCTCTCAAGGCTGATGCTCTACATTTGATTAAGTGGAGATAAGAATCTCAAGGACTTTTCTATCCAGGCTAGCTTTGAACAATGATCCTTAGATCTCAGCCTCCTGAGTAGCTATTGTTACAGGCAGCACCCTGCAGTTTGGGGATTTTAAAACTACATTTCATTTCCTATGGAAACTATTTCATAATAGAATTAGATGCAATGAATTTCCAAGTGTATAATTCTACTTCCAGAAAACAAGCATCTTAACACAAAGGAGCACTGAACCAGAGATAATGTCTTCTATCCAAACACATTTGTACTGTATGTAAAAACTGTTTAAAAGGAAAATTACATCTTTTCCAGCAATTTATCAGAGATAATTACCCTTCATACACCAAATGAAGGATAAAGTGTTTTAAAGAACTATAACTCTAATTGGTAAATGTCACCAGCTGTTGCAGTTACTCTTACTTGTGTATATTCTTTTAATGATTATAGTCTCATGCCACAAGCTACATGAAAATATATTCACTAGGTGTGAAATTCCCATATGTCACAGTTTCAAGAATAGGTAAACAGCACAAAGATAAAAGAAGAAATAATGCTAATGAGGAATGATAAGAATTCTAAGTTTTGTTTTCCAAGCCAGTAGATCTTAATTTGCTAAAATGAAGACAAATACAATTTCAAAAGGAGAAGGAAAGAAATAAATTGTTGAAACAAAACTTTTAAGTGAGCTTTATCTCATATCCTCCACCTGAGTCTTGTTTCCTTAGAAAGTGGTCGAATTGTCAACACTTACAGCCTTCAGTGCTGTCTCTTTTGAGAAGAGCATTTTATTTTCTTTTAGGCTTGAATGTCAAACTGTTTGTTGATTTTAGATGGTGAAGCATAAACTCTTCCTGGGCAATATTTCATGACATCATCTTGGAGATAGCAAGGAAATAGAAAATAAATCACCTTCGTATCTTTGCAAATCTATAATGTCATTATTTCCCTCTCACCTGGACCTAACTTCCACAGATTTTGTTGGGTCAAGTGATTGGCTGAATTAGACTTCTAAACAAGGTTTGGCTTTGAGAGGGAGAAATAAAAAAACAGGATGGGAAGGCAAGCCTCTCATTTGTTTTTTCAGTTCCGAGCTTAGCTGCCTGAACCCGGTGCCTTGGTATCATGTGTATCAGGGATTCTAATTTCCAGGCACCTGACAGAAACTCAAACTCAAAGGCTGAGCTAAGTCACTAAGTACAGAAAATTGTCCTCATGTCATTTTCAGCTTTTTAAATGTTCTCATTTTCAGTGTTTTGACAAAATTTGAAAGGCACCAAGAGAAATACTTACCCTATGAGTTAGTTGAGAATAAATAATACTTTTGTACAAATACCCTGCCTCATCATTCAAAAATATGATCTATAACCCTCTCTTCACAAAGAAAGCAAACAACCTGTTTTTATTCATTGAAATCCAAGCTTGTAGAACTTAATCTTTCAAACATTGATTATGAAAATTATGCAGAAATGAATTTGTTCAATAGCCTTCATTAGGTTTGGAATATATTGCCTAGCTTTTACACACACACACACACACACACACACACACAAACACACAGAGTCATTTCAAATTTTTAACTTGCCTCCATTATATGAGGACTATATTGTAAAAATTCTTGAATTTATGTGGCATATACTAAGCTAAATATGAGTAGTAAGAAATTTTAGTGATGATTATTGCACAGAAATTGCACAGACATAACTATAAGAAAAACTCAAATAAATTTTCATAAATGGAATAAAATAGCTTAATGCCTGTACTATGGGTTTGACCAAGAGAAGTAAAATTTTATTAGGATATATATGCTACCTCAGTCAGAGGTGTACCTTAAGTTGTTTGTATTGGTTCTTATAATCTTGCAGTATTTACTATTGCAAATGAGTTTAAAGATTTTAAATGCATCTGAGGAACACAAGAGGATATAAGCCTAACTACTTTATTTGGCCATCCATTTCACTGTTTTGTTCTTACTAGTTTTACTGTTAACCAAATAACTAATACAGACTGTGAGTTAACTCCAAGTACAGATGATATTTTTTTCCATTAACTGGTCTAGCTATATGAAGCTAACTTTCAGGCATTTGTCACTTTCTAGTACTGATTAGTCTATGGGAAGAATGAATGTTAACTACGCTCTTTCCTCTAACATCACAGACACCAATATGTAAACCTAACCTCTCAGGAGGCTGAAATCTGAGAATCATAGTTCAAAGCCAGCCCAGACAAGAAACTCCTTGAGAGTCTTATTTATAATCAACCAGAAAAAAGTCAGAAGAGCACTAGCCTTGGGCAAAAATGTTCAAGGATAGTACCAGGCCCTGAATTCAAGCACCATGACAAACACACACACACACACACACACACACAAAAGGAACCAAATGTTACAAATTGAAAAGTTTATTGACTCAGCTCTCTAGTTTTATATAAGAAACTAGTTTGTTTATGTGTCTGCTTTTCTAAAATGATAAATCCTTAAAATAATACTGATAAATAATGAATAGAAGCAATGGACAATTCACAAAAATTTAAGTTTTTAGCTAGGCGCTAATGTCTCATGCCTATAATTCTAGCTACTCAAGAGGTTGAGATCTGAGGATCACGGTTCAAAGCTAGCCCAGGCAGGAAAGTCCGTGAGACTCTTGTCTCCAATAAACCACTCCGAAAACCAGACGTGGTGCTGTGGCTCAAGTGGTAGAGTGCTAGCCTTAAGTTGAAGAGCTAAGCGACAGCGCCCAGGCCCATAGATCAAGCCCCACAACCAACAAAAAAAAAAAAAAATAGTTTTTACTTCCTAATATAAAAATATTTTAAGCAACAAAAACCCAACATCTCTTTAGTCATATTTTACTAGGTTTAATAAGAAATTTAGTTTGTAATTCCTTAAACACCCATGATAGTCAAATGACAATACAAGAAAAGCTAATATTTTAATATTATTGATAAGGCAGTAAAAGGTGATAAAAAGTAAAATGTGCTTGCAATTAGGAAATAATAATTGCATTGAGAAATTTGTGAAAATTTCACTTATACTGCTTGGCATATTGGAATTCTAAGGTAGTCACTAAAGAAAAAAAGACAGTAGCTATAGGTTTACATCTGTGTAGTTGTAATCATTGAAATAATAATGAATATGACCTCAAGTGCTCAATAATAAAATAAAATACCATATGTTTAATAGTAAACTTACTTTATAATAAACTTACCTTATTATGGAATTTATTAAAGGTACTCATTGTTTATTTGGTAATGAGCATTTTTAAGTAGGGTAATCTCAAAATTACTTCCCCAACTGTGTTAAACATTAATTTCATAAATGAGATCTGATGAGGTTTTCTTCCCTGTGCTTTACCCTCACATCAGAAACCAGGAATGGACCTGGCAGACACCTATATCATGTTCGTTCGGCAGAACCAGGATATTCTTCGAGAGAAGGTCAATGAAGAAATGTACATAGAAAAGCTGTTCGATGTAAGTAGCTTCCTTGGCAAGGTGTGCTGGCACAAAATATACCCAGCAAAGAGGAAAATTGTATTTGATGGACTATTTGCAAAGCCACTTCTCGTTTTAGGTCGTGTTTCTTCTATGCAAATAATAGAGTCAATAATTTTTCTATTTCCCTGACAGCTGGTGGAAGATTTGATGATCTCTTTTCTATATGAAAACTGTCACCCTCATAATTAGTCTCAAAACCCTTCTAAGGTGTAACAAGCAGTCTCCTGGAGTATACAATAGCATTTCCTTTTCAGCTTCCATAGAGAGAATTCATGGAGCAATGGATCTGGCTCCTCCTATAAAAAGATTTTTGTAAGCCAACATGTTAAACAAAGACTTGCCCTTTCCAATCCAGAGTATCTGACATAGCACTGTTATTGAACATTTTTATTTCGACTTCATAGACGAATAATATGGTGAAAATATATGATCATCTTCTCAGAACAAAGGTCTTCATTTAGTCATGACCAATAGACATGGAGTTGTATTTATTGAGCATCTAGAAAGGTAACCAAGAGAGCAGTCCATTTAAATAACAGTGTTGTCATTCATTTGTAATTATCAACAGTCGTTTCAAAGAAAACAGTATTGTACTTGCAAGGTAACCTTGTATTATAAATCACTACAATGCCGATCCTGAAATGTGGTATTTGTTTTGAAGTTTATTTATTTATGTAATCTTCTCTGCATTTTTTAGAAATGCTTTTCTGGCAGTTGCATTTTAATTATGCAAGTTACTGCAAATGTTTTCATAACAGCAATTCACGGGCTTCCTGGTGACACTTCAGCTGTGGCAGTTGCAGAAGGTCCCAGAACGTCATCATAATCTCTTGCCACGGTCTGTCATGTCAGTATTCGCTGTCGGATTGGGCGGTCAATATGAATCTTATTTTTCTGACTTTAAGTTTCCAACCTCTACCCAGGCCATTTCACAATAAAAGTATCATCTGTTTTAATAAGCTAAGTGTTAATATGTGTGAAAAGAATGATTTCCTAAAAGCTTTGATGCCCTGCAGGGTAGAAAAATTATCATCCATCCAGCTGGCTCTTTTACAAAATACTGAAACCATATTAGCAACTTCTGCTTCCATTTGCTCTTGCTCTCCATTTCCAAGCATATGTTGCATTTCTGAGCTCTCCTTTACTTTTTTGCTTAGCTGGTGATTTTCAAAACTGTTGAACAGAAAGAGTTGGGTTGGATGTCACTTCTGTTATGTTTCGTTCTGGGAGAGCCAAAGCACATATTGTTTGTTAAAAATGAAGTAGACCCATACTAGAAATTGTCCACTCTAGATAGATTTTTTTAAGGGGCTGGGAGAATATTCCCTTAACTTAAATTTTTGTCCTGACTTACTTACTACACGCCTTAACCATTTTTGCTGTTAGTTCAGAATGTGGAGATTTTTTTTTTCACTTTGAAAGTATTCCCCACTCGAATAGCTTTTCACTCACTGGACTTTCTTAGAAGACTATTGGACAACAGTAGCAATCTGACCTAACTAAACTGGACCCACATAGGCCAAAATTGAAATAATGTGCACTAGCTTCTAGTTCTGTACTTCTGTACACTTTATTTTTGATACCTAAGCTTCAGATATGGCTGTGGGTTTGCTTCCCAACCACTCTGTTTTGGGTGTGGAGGTTTTGTCATTTTTCATATCCCCAGTAGAACATTAGACTTGTTATTTGCAAAACCATTGTAATGTCCTTAAACATTCTAATGTTTTTAGGTTGCACATTTTCATTTAATTAAAAATAAAAATAGTCCCTAATTCTGTTGATATGTCATCAAGTGTAACATGTATAAAGGGGGACCAAGAGCCCCTAATTAGCCAAGACTGAATTTGTCTCAATTACAGTTAGTAAATGAGAGGTTATCAAGTATGTGTTGAAAGGTAAAGTAGAATGTGTATCTTAAGCAACAGATCATTACTGAGAGACATTATATAATTATTGAAAATCCCCTTAGCTGGAGCTTAAAATAATATTGTTAGGTGTCAAGAAACAGTTGAAAATAATGATCTTAAATATACTGTTAGCAACCTTAGCCTATTAGAGATAAAAAGATAGAAGAGAACAATTGTATTCAGGGAACATGTCAAACTTTTGATATTCCAATTAGAGTACTTCCTATGTAAGTAAGTAAATGGATCCTCCTAAGTTCAGTTTGTAAAAGAAAACACAGGCATGTACATATCTATTAGAGTAGATGAACATGGAGTGGGTTTTAGACAACTAAAGGGCTGAGGGTCATTGCAATATGAGAACTTAACTCTTAGAATTTGAAATGATAAAATCATATGATGGAAAGATCAGTGGACTGCAAATGGAGAAACCACAGTTCTGCCATGACTTTTCTGAATGACTTTGGAAGGTTCTATTATTTCTTTAGGACTCAATTTAGCTACTATATATAAACTGAAATTGCTGGTCTAGAGCTCTGGAGGACTCAAAGTCTTTCCAGACTTTACAGTAATGGTTCTTTTTGTAAGAATAATAGAAATTATTGGGGTGTTTGAATAATGTTTGCAGGCTAGCAATTCTTAAGTCCTTTCATGAAACTAAGTCTTGCATAGTAAGCCATAGTAAATCCACAAGCTGAGTAGAAAAACGAGGATCTGCACAACATTATAGCTGCATGCCATATGAGATTTTGTGTATCTACTATCACAGATCTGAAATCCAACTTCAGAATAGTGCTTGGAACTCAAATCAGTTCTCTATAGTCATGCCAAGTTTTTCTTCCAAGTCACCAGGATATGTTGGACAATAGTAACCTCTGTCTTTATAGAGCTCATTGAGATACATGCTAACTTTATACATGCATTTACCCCGTTAATAATAATGTTCTATGTAGGTAAGAGAAGTCTAAATGAAGTTTGCCTGAAATATAAAAAAATAGAATTTGTGATGGAAAAAAAGAAAAAAAAAAAAAAGCCAGGTGTTCATGACTCACAACAGTAATCCTAGCCACTCAGAAATCTGAGACATAGAGGATCCAGGTTCCAGGCCAGCCTCGACTAAGTAAATAAATAAATAAATAAATAAATAAATGTTTTCATTACTAGACTCAGTTTCCCAGTTTCCAAGAAAACTAGCAAAAAGCCGGGCTATAAAACATGGCTCAAATGATAGAGTACTAGCAGGGCATAGAAAACTGAGAAAATATAGGGCCCTAACTTGAAACTCTCATACCAAGAACAAACAAACAAACTGGGAGGGAATTCTATTTGGGAGACCATCTTCCTTAACATAATGTCCTTTTTCTAATGTACAACATCATTGTCTGTGGTCTTTACAATTGGTTTCAAATATGTAAAACCATCTTCAGCATGTTTGTCCACAACTTGAAACTAATGACAGCAGTTTCCTAATTCTTATCCGATTTTGAGTATCACTTATATTTTTTCTCCTGGTGAAATCAGTTGATCAACTCTTGCAGGTTTCTGGACTCAGAGTCAAAACCACAGGTGTCCTATGTGTGGGAAAAGAGGCATTCGTAGAGTACATTGTGTCTCTACACTGGAAAGTGGTATAATATTATCAGAAGTTAAAACTAACATCTATCAAAATAGCCACACCAGCACTTCTGTGGCCCTTTCCTAAGTCCCAAACATATTACAAAGTGGAGTTAATAGGGTTCTTAAGGCACATCGCACACACACTCACCCTGCTTCAAGATGGGTACTTTCCATCTTGAGTCCCTTTAAAACTATCTCCTGTTCGCTTTCCTGTTGGTGAAGTCACACCAGGGTGCAGCATATAATTGGTAAATCATGCAGATTAAACATTCTCTTGTGTTATAAACTGATTAAATATTTAATTGTCAAGGAGTTTCATCTCCATGAGATTTTTTTAAAATATTGTAAAATGTCTTATAAAATTAAAAGTAATTATTTAAATGATAGTTAATCAGTTATATTCATCCAAACAGTCTTTCATAAAGGATTCATTTGTAAGGACTTTTCATGAAAAGAATTCTGCCTTGCTAATAAAGCAACTCTAAATTAAACATTTGGAGCAAAATTGACCTAAACTGTGCAAATAGGGTGAGTAGCCTATTCATGCTATGATAAGAGGGAAAAAGATGAAAATATTCTAAGTGAATATGATTCTCAAAATAAAACTAATTTTGCACCAAAGCGCCCTTGTTTGTCTCTGGAATCCTAAATGAGAAAAGGAAGAAATGCTCAGATTTTTTTTTAACTTCAGTCTTTCACATTAGTACCCATAATTTTTGGTACAAGGATTTTTTTCACCCTTGAAAACATCAACATTTCTGATCTTAACTTATTTAAGGATTCAGTTTTCTGCTAAATTTATTTCCCCAAAACAGTTTAAATCAACAAAATATAGATAAGCTTGGCTAGTAAACCAGATGGCAACATACACCTGTAATCCTAGCTCTCTGGAGGCTGAGGGAGGAGGATTTCAAGTTCAGGACTATCCTAACTACATAGTAAGACCCTGTCTCCAAACCAACAAAGTAGAAACTAGTCAATAAAACTTTATGTAATAACTTTGCTCGTATGAATTTAAGGTTGACAGTGTAAAATAATATTCTTTAGGTGAGATTTTTGGACTTACAATCGTATATTTTATAAGGCATACAGGCTGAAACCCATTTTAATAACAGGTTAGCTTGCCTTCTTGCAATCCTATAATTTATGTTTTTCTTATGTATATCTCAATGTAAAAAAAATAACGCATTTTCTTGATCCATTCATCTACTGAGGGGCATCTGGATTGATTCCTCTCTTAACTATGGTAAATAGTGCTGCAATAAACATAGCTGTGCTGGTAGTTTTAGTATGGTCTTGTTTGTGATCATTTGGGTAAATGCCCAAAAATGGAATTGCTGTGTCATAGGGGAGCTCTATGTGGTGTCTTTTGAGGAACCTACATACTACTTTCCAAAGTGGTTGAACAAGTTTACACTCCCACCAGCAGTGCAGTAAGGATCCCTTCTGGCCACA